TTTGTTTTTTCTTTTGGTATGTCTAAAAGAAAGCAAAAGCATATCCAATTATGTGCAAAGAATGAACCATGATAAGGACCCCTCAATGCTTTTGCCAAAAAGCCTCTGATCCCAATATTGAACCAAATGTCCTCTTTAATCAAGTGTTTGTTTGTCCATATTCCCCAATGAAAGTACTAATAAGAGTTACACATAACAAGTTGATTAGAATTTAGAAGAGAAAATGCCTACATTTTTTCATATTTTTTTTAAAAGGAAAAATAAAAAAGGATTGAGCTCAAAATAATTGACGTCGATCACACGAGTGCAACATCGCTCCACGACGCAAAGACGGTCAAATTGTCGGACGAAGCAGGCTTCCCGAGCAAGAAGTTGTGGTCCGGACTAGCCTCCCTCGAGCTGCTGAGGCTCGTCACCAGGGACGATGGGTCCGAGAGGTGCCTGGCCATTTGTCTCTGATAGTCGTCAGTAACAGTTTTCGGTGGTGAGGACTCGACATTTTCGGATGTTGCTATGGTGAGCTCACTCTCGTCCTTGCGCCTAGCCATCTCGCCAGCTGGCAGAGCGTTGCTTGTCATGATCTTGTCCACGTCGTACCGCGACATGTTGAAATTGGTCACTGCGTTTGGGCCCCGGAATTTGATGGCCGCTATGTCGTACGCCTCCGCTGCTTCCTCTTGCGTGCCTGCAAAAATTAATTTTTTTATTGATATTTGTTGAAATATTACTTGTGAGTTGTCCACATTGATTCTATAGTGTAAATGAGCCTAGTTTATAAGCATAGTATGCTACTTCTACCATCACCAATTAATTTTGGGATAAAATCTCATTAAGGTGGAAAATATTTCTTACTGAAAGTTCCGAGGTAAAGGTCCTTATTCCCGGCCACCCGGCCGATCCTCGCTTGCCATCTTCCATGCTGATGATGCCTGAAAAATAATTAGAAAAATAAAAAAATTAAAAAAATGTAACACCTTTATTTTTGGAGAAAATTCATTCATAAATGAGAATAATATAAGATGAAGGAAAATGAAATTAACTAACCTTGTGACACCTCTATACATTGAGGCACCTCTTGAAAATCCACTACTCCTCCTAAAGTTTGTACAAAAAAAAAAAATAATAATAATAATAATTAAGGGACAAAAATTTAACAATTTTTTTTTTCAATTAATATTGATGTTAATTAATTGTTTAGTACAATGTTGACCTTCTCAAGTGAGCAACATATTCTTGTCTGTTCATGCTCTTCATCTCCTCAAGTTCTTGTTGATAATTTTCCAACTACAATTACAACAAAATGGATCAATAAATTATAATAAACCCACTAAAAAAAGAATCTTGAAAATAATTACATTAATTTGAGGTAAAAATTAATTTAACTGCACATACAGGAAAATTAATATGGGTTGATGGGCCCCAATATTTAAGAGCAGCAAGATCATAAGCTCTAGCAGCTTTGTCTTCCATATCATACCCTCCTGAATTAACATATATATATAATGCCAAATTTTTAAATAAATTTAATTTACTCATCTCAACAAAGTATTCACTAAAATTTTTTAAAAAAAAAAAGTAAATTTGCACTTACCAAGATAAACTGCATTAATTTCAGGTTGGTTTGCAGCAACAAAGACCATACATCAGCAAAATTAATTCAAACAAATTAGTTGGACAATTAAATCAAATATATGAAAAATAAAATCAAAATTACAAAATTAAAGCACTTTATTTAATTTCTTTTTTTTTTTTTTCAAGCAAGCTAATTTACCTTGTCTTCCTTTCCTAGTCTGCCCTTCCTTCTTGGAACTATTATCCCATAAATGAGCTTCATATCTACCTGTCCACCTATGCCTAACCAAAAAAACAAAAAAAAAATATTAATCATAATAATGTCGAAAAATGCTACAATCCCGTCACGGAATGGTTCGTGAGAGACTTTAGCCATGAATTATCTAAAATAACTAACTCATTAAAGGCTAAAATCTCTCACGGAATCATTCCGTGACCGGGATGTAGTCTTCTCCAATAATGTCAATATTTCAAAATCCCAATTAAATTAACAAAAATATATATACCAATTGAAAAACAAAAAAAAAAAGAAAATTAATTAGTAAATAATTAACCTTGTGACACCCCTATACTGAGAAGTCCTTTGCCCAAATGTATCAATAGATTTCCTATGAACAGTTTGCCTCTGCCCCAGCAACCCTCTTTTCTTCGAACCGCCGCTTCTCACAACCAAAGTACTACACTCACCGGCATTGGTGGGCTTGTTGTTGGTGACGCAGCTGGACTGCGAGCCCGGGCTCATGGACAGGCTGAGGGACGAGAGTGGGCCCTGGCCGGCCTCGTTTTGGGCCTTGTTCTGGACCACGGCCGCCGGGCTGGCGAACTGTGGGTCGAAGTCGTGGTCGGGCTCGATCATCCACGGCTTGGGGCAGGGGAAGTCGTGGAGGATTTGCCCGTAGTTAAGACCGTAGTAATTGTAATTATATCCGTAATTGTTATTAATATTGTTGTTGTTGTTGTTGTTGTAATCGAGGCTTAGGAACATGGGTGGGTGTGGGTCCCGCTGATTATGATGATGATGATGATGATGAGAGTGAGCCGCCATTGTCGTCGTCGCCGTGCCGCCTAGGAAGTTTTCCAGTTTTGGAGAAGGGACTGTAACTAAAATATAACACAAAAAATAAAATATTGGATAAAACGTTTACTTTTTATTTATTTTATTTGGAAAAATATTGTGGGTAGCTAGCTACCTTGAGAATGAGATGTTGAGAGAGCCTCCATGAGACAAAGGGAGGTGTCGGATTTGAGAGGCATGACGACAGGGGTAAAATCGTCATTTTGGGAGACGACGACGTTTTGATGGTGGCCAAAGTGAAGGCCGAAAGGATTCATGGGCGTGTTGTTGTTGTTGTTGGTGTCGTCGTCGTCGTTTGCAGCAGCCTCCATCTTCAAGCGGGGCGACAAAGAAAACCCTAACCAGTTGCCATCGTCTTTCATGGGCATCATCATCGAAACCTTAATTTCCCAAAAAAAAAACTGTTTTGTTTTTTTCTTTTTTCCTAAGAACACACGAGAGCACAGTAATTATATTTCTAAATCATTGGCTGGAAATGGAGCAATCATTTATCATTCAAAACTGTATGAGTAACACATAAAATCAGCAATTCTTTTTCTTTTTCTCTTTTAATGTTCTCTCTCTCTCTCTCTCTC